GCACGGCACCGTTGAGCGAGCGTCCATCTCCTCGGCGTCTAAAACCTGGGATTATCCGCGCGCTTCCGGAAGGCAACGTCGAAAATAGATACATCGCGGAAGGCCCGGTCGACGGCTCGCCGGTACCGGCGAGTCTCGCGCGCGCGGCCCCGCCCGCCGAAACACCCCCGAGCGCGATGCGCGTTTCTCTCTCTCTTTTTCTCCATTTCCCTCCCCCTTCCTCCGCGCCCGTGGGAACACGTCACTGTGAAAATACCGGAAGAATATCGCGTTATCGGACGGTTCTCCGCCCGAAAGCTCCGTTCTTCGTTCTCGATATTCCATTCTTCGAATGCTTGGAATGCGAGGGAGGGAGAGAAGAGAGGAGGGAGGGAGAGAGAGAGAGAGAGACGGAAGAACAGAGGTAGACGGATCTGGAATTGTCAGATCTTGTGGGATTTCTGGATCATGATTCACACATTGTGGGACACTTACGTCACCATGTTACCGGGACAAGCGAAGCCTGTCGCACGATGCTTATTTGTGTGCCCGATCGCGTCTTGGAAACACCGCGTTCTGATTGGTACGTTCCTCCGAAATCACGTGCAGAAGTCCCACGATTTCTGGTAGCTCCAAGGTGGATCCAAGACGGAGGAGGAAGAAGACGAGAACGAAAGTGTATCGGGGGTGTTCGCGGGGGGAGGCTCGTTAAGTACACGCACCCATACTCGAATACTCCACATTAGTGGCACATGCGAAAAATACATAGAAGTCAGAGAATGATGATGGAACAAGACGTATACCTCTCAGCCGACCTTCACGCGCGACATTGCTCTCTCTCTCTCTCTCTCTCTGTTAGTTTACACGTCACTACCCCGGTCCTCGTCATTATCGTCATCGTCGTCGTTTGTTCGTCTTTCGTTCGGTGTTTGTTACCTCTTATCTGTCAAACGCATCAAGCGCATACAAGGAGTCGCACTTTACTCCCCCAATTTCCTTCGTTCGCACACCTTTTCATACGTATTGTTTTCCATTACATCACTTTTGTATAATGCAATACTTTGTGTATACTATAAATATCACTCGCGAGTTTTGTTTTCCTTAAATGTTACGGTGTATGTATATAATTATATATATAATCTTCACACACACACACACACACACACATATATATATATATATATATATATATATATATATATATATGTATGTATGTATGTATGTATGTATTATATCACTAAAAGATATTACATACGGTATTGATCGTTTAAGTCATCGTTTGCAGGGATTAGACCCTTCTTACTCTTATCGTCCTTGCGCACCGCACTCGCTCGATCATAGACGCACTATCGCTACATTTCGTTCCTCGTCCGTACATCTCATCCAGACATCTCTCGCACCTCTCATCGAATATAGATATATATATTCGTTTTATGTATCCTATAGATTATCCGTTTATCGCGACCGCGCGCGCAAATCACGCGGCTCACGCAACCTTTGTATTATCGTGTAGTAATACTCGTAATAGTGTAGTTTAAAGTTTTGAGTTAACCACTTATTGCTCGAAATTTCCCACTCACATATTCCCTTCGCCATATTTCGGTCGCTTCCTGCAACGCCCCCGTACGTTAGTTTCGCCGACGATCTTTTTCCCATTCTCTCTCTCTCTCTCTCTCTCTCTCTCTCTCTCTCTCTCTCTCTTTCTCTCTCTCTCTTCTACGAAGAATAATTCCCGATTACTTTTAAGAAAAACAATAAAGAGAATCCGACGAGGAGTCCAGGCAGAGACTCATGAGATCATTTCAGCGATAATTGGCGTTAACGCAACAATCGCAGCCAGCACTTATGAACTACTGACGGAAAATAAAATAAAAAAATAGAGAAGCGCGACGCGCTCAGAAAATAAGTTAAGCTAATATCGCGATGCGACGCGACGATGTCCTTATGTTCGTGTCGAACAGAAACGTTAGAAACGTTACGCGATTATTATTATTATATTTGTAAGCGCGATTCAACTACAAGAAAACTTATATCTAGTGCAACTTCAAGTACGAGTATCTCAGCTAAGTGTCAAGTCACGTTACAAGTCACGTTTCAAGTCGCGCATGAAGTACAAGTGAGAACTACCAATACCGCCTTTACCGCACTAAAATGTCTAAATCAATGTCTCTCAATGAGTGTCGCGACTTTTCTTTTTTTTTCTCGATTAAATTAACCCTAGAAACCTAACGTAAGAAGTTATAGTAATGTTAAGAAAGTCTAAGATCTTAAGTCTTAGAGAACTAATCTTAGAAATATCTAATTATAATTTTAAAGATTCGGAAAAAATCGGATTTTTCAATTTTCCCATGGATTTTTTAAGCTTTCGAGCTAAAATTGAAAAAAAAGGTGGTTTTCTTAAACTATATATCTAATGCACGAACGTTACAATAATATACGAAAATCTAAGTAAATCTAAAATATATTATTAATGTACTATCAAAAAGTAATTCATTAGGAGAAATCCGTTGACGTACTGACGGACAAGGGAACTATCGCATATTTACATTTACAGAGAGAGAGAAAGAGAGAGAGAGAGAGAGAGAGACAGAGAGAGAGAGAGAGAGAGAGAAAGCAAGCTCGGCAAGACGGGGAAACAGCGCGGGCGATACACGGATGCGGTGATATCAATTGTCATCGCGGCGAAATCGATCGTCCTAAGGGTGTTGTTCTGTCTCCCTGACGTGTAACACATCCATATTCTCTTTTTCATAAATTCCCTTAATGCAGTACTTAGACTGACACGCGACTTAAGACCTAAAAATCTAATCAAATATTTCATGTGAGCCAATTCAATTTCACAGGTTCTACTATCCGTCCTTATGCGACCACAATCTCACTCTACAATTAAGTTTGCCTATATTTATAATGACGCAGTAATATCTTCTTAAGTGACTCTCTAGGTGTGTGTACTCGTGTATGTATGCCTATCGGTCTATTTTTCTCCCTTTCGTGCATGCGCGCCGAGGTCGCCGCGGGTCTCCCCGTTTCCTTATCGTTAAGTTATTCGCTTATAAATATGTGTGTGTGTGTGTATGTGTGTATATATATATACATATAATATATATAATATAATATTATATATAATATACATTTTTTCACGTATATTATGTATAATAATATTATACGGTATATATATATATATTTCCTGTGTGAGTGTGTAGGTTAATAATATCATCAGCTTAAGTAAAATGACTCTCTCTCTCTCTCTCTCTCTCTCTTTCTCTTTCTTTCTATATATTTCCGATGATTTTCTGTGCCGGTGATTCTCCGTAACGCATTCTCTCTCCTCTCGCTCTCTTTTCTTATTCTCTCTTTCTCTTCCCTATGAGAAGTTCGTTAAATTAATTTTACTCACTAATTTCCTCAGTGAAATGATGCCGACGCCGATTGCGCGCGGCATAAAATATCGCACGATTAATGCTATAGTATAATTGTTTACTTATGTACGACGTGAAACCCTTAACAGCTACGCGCAACCCTGACGTGCGCGCGAGTGAACGCCCACGCAGCGGGTCGCTGAAGTCTTATTTAACGCGATGGAGAGCGGAGAAATATTGTCTTCGATTATTTGAAGAAAAAAATATATATATATGTATATATATATATATGTATGTATGTATGTATGTATGTACGTACGTATGTAGGTGTGTACGTGGGTGTGTTTCATAATATACGTTACACAATATCTTATACGCATTATACATTGTCAACACGTATACACAATCACACGTGTCGTTTCAAGTGTGTTGTTTCGTGTTGTTGCATGTGACATCGCTCGCATACGCTTAACAAGAGAACCTTCCGCCTAGATGCCGCGCATAAGAGTCGAAGTGTAACGCGTGGATTGACCTGTTGCCTCTGGGGAAGGCGAGAGACGCGCGAGAGCTCGTCCCGAGAACGACGAGCGGAAGCGTCTGCTCGCGACGCGACGAGGAGGAGGAGGGCCGAAAGCATAACACCGTCGAGTCGTCATAGCTGTCGTCGTCCTTGTCGTCGTTGACGTCGTCGAGTCGTCACGATTATCGTCGTCATCGTCGTCGTTGTTCGTAATGAACGCGAGTCGGAGATAAACCTGGAGCCTGTGTTATTCAGCGAGCAGAAAATCAAGCGTTTTCGGCTGTTCGAAGTGCGACATACCTCTCTCCGAGAGTTCGTTTTTTGGCACTTGGTGACCCGTGGCAGCGGGTCCTGAGTCTTCCCAGTGCTATTGGTTTCGCATTTCGCGTACGATTCGCGCGGTCGTCTTCGTCGTCCTTCCGAATTCACGCTCCTCGGCGCGTCGGAGACCTTCCCGCTGATCCGACCGGGAACAGAGTACCGTACGATACTATTCTTTACAGCTGTACCCTCTGAACACGATCTGGCTGTTTCCCTCCCAGCTACGACGCAAGTGTTTGAATGTTTCCTAATTCATTCCACCAAGTGTTTAAGTATCTTCTTCAACTTAAGCGCGAGTGCAGCTATAAAGAGCAGACCTCGTTCGCGTCGGTGTCGGGGGAATGAACATCGCAAAGGTACAGGTATAACGAGGGATAAAGAGGGAGGAAACGTGGAGATTGTGTGTGAGAGAGAAAGAGAGAGAGAGAGAGAGAGCGCTCGCGGAACCAAGTCGTCATCTTCGACGTACGGGCCGCCCTCTCCTTTCTCGCAACGTTCCCTATTTTATTGCTTCGTGGCCGTGGGAAACGCGGCCGTGGCCGGGAACGACGAGAGAAGAAGAGGCCGGGCTTAGCGCGCCCGAGCGTATCGCGAAACGAGCGCAAAACGCTGTTCCGCTAATGGATCGCGTTAATTAATCGGTAATTAATGCTGGGCGCGGCGCGCCTTGGATGTGCCGCGCACGCATCTCTCTCTCTCTCTCTCTCTCTCTCTCTCTCTCTCTCCCTCCCTCCCTCCCACCCTCCCTCCCTCTATGTATACGTGTATATGTATGTACATTGTGTGTTCGATCCTAATACGTGATACTATAATAATACGCGTTAATCTAAGTAGGAACCAAGGATGTGCTAAAACGCAATAATGACTTGCAATGTTGTTGTAATGGGCGAAAAAAAAAGAAAACCGAAGGAAGAAAAACAGGGAGAAAAGTGGGAAAACAAAAAAAAGGGGGGAGGGGGTGAGCACGAGTCGCGCGAGGGCGAAGAAACAACGGGACTCGCCGAAAGCATTCATTATTAATGACACACAATTTCACGCATGGCGGACAAAGCGACGTGTACGCGTGTCCTCCCGCGTACCTCGCCATGCGGCAACGCCCGTGGGTATAAATTAAATAATAATAATAATAATAAACTGACAGCATGTGAGAAAAAAGTGGAGGACTCGAACGCAAGAAGTACGTGTGTGTCCGCTCGATATGTCCGTTAAGGGCGGCCCGGATACACGCGTGCAACCACACCTGCGACGACACCTTTTCCAAATCCTCTTCTTCTCCTTCGTAGAGTTCTCCTCTCTCCCCTCGTTCTTCGCGCGTTGTCTTCGTCCCGTTCTTCCTCGTACGTCACGAGAGAGATTTCTCGACGACCTATGCGTGAATCCGAAGATCCTTTCTCTCTTTCTTTCCAGTTCCTTTCTATTTCCGCATTGTATCTTTCTCTTTCCCTCTCTCTTCTCTTTCGTAACATTCGCATCATTCGAATGATCCCACTCGACGACGAAAGTGTNGGGGGGGGGGGGGGAGGGGAGGGCTCTCGCTCTCGCGACTTCTCGGTAACGAGACGAGACCAGAAGAATACTGGGTAAAAAGGACAATCGAAAACGTCAACGGTGAGAGGTGTGTGTGTGTGTGTGTGTGTGTATGTCCGCTTCGTCTGATGCTTACCATGTTGGTTATGTTCGCGATCGCTGTTGTCGTCGTTCTCCAGAGACAACGGCAGGTTTTCCTGGCGTGAAGTCGAAAAACTTGCCACGTTCTCTCCCTCTTTCTCTCTTTTTCTCTCTCGTCGTCGCGATCATTCTCTCCCTCTCTCTCTCTCTATCTATCTATCTATCTCTCTGGAACATATCCCTCTGTCTCTCCCTCTCTCTCTCTCTCTCTCTCTCTCGTATATAATATACATATATATGCATACATATCCGTGCACGGATCAGAGTCTCGCGGGTCTCTTACCGGGCGGGAGGGGGGG